TTGCCAAAATGCCATTTTATACACAAAGCTGCTAATACAATATACAGTTCTTACATTATTTTTTCACATAAAATACATTTCATCAAGTTTTATTTGTACATCGCTTACTACTGATCGATGGAATTACGAGTTATTGCAGAAGGCTTGCCATCATTTGTTAATATTCTGTACATGCAGCAGTCACACCAAGCTGTACCACGGTTACCGGCACTCCTGTAGTCCATTCTCACACTGCAATCTAGAGGCTGAAGATGTAGAGGTGGCAATACTAAGGCTGCATCTGTACTGTTGAAAACCCCTTATCTCCCTTCCAGCTGCAGATGCAGCTAATTGCATTGGTCCAGGTTTGGGAACAGGTATCTTGAGCAGAGTCTCCTCTACTACAGCTTCTGCAGTTGAAATACAGCAAAATATTCTAGGTTGTAATTTTGCCATGGCAGATGTTGCCTGAAAAACCCAGTGGTACTGAACTTGCAGGTGGGGAACCGAGAAGTCCATTGCCAGTATGGCCAACAAGAAAACAGCAGAATAAAGCTGAAGAACAACCAGGGACAACAAAGTCCGTTGTACAGACACAGGCAAAACAAAACAAAAAATGTAAATATTAGCTGTGTTCTGTAGTAAGAGGCTAGACCCTGTGGCTACAAGTGTGTTCTGGACTCTGCCTGTAGAGAATTGATATAACAAAGTAGGTCAATGTGATTTGTTAAATTAGAATAAAGATCCTGTGCATTTCCTTTCTGTCTATTTAGGAAGAGAGAACTGGTGATCGTGAGAGAAATTGAAAGAACAAATAAAAACTTAAAAATCTGGCATGGTCTGAACTGTTATCCCTTTGCAAAATAGCCTCCAAGTTAAAACCCAGCACTGTATAGTCACCGCAAACCTTCCAGATACTAGTTTCCGAGTTACCTTTAGCAAGTACAATAAGGCACAGAAATATCCAGACATAAGGAGAACACCTTCCTGCAGAAACACAACAGTTCATCTCTGGCTCACTGGAGATCAGTGCTATTGCTTTCTCAGTTAAGATACTCCTTTTTCATGATATTGCTGATTTAGTTTCAGCAGAGAAGATTTGGGTAAACAGAGCTCCAAGGTTAAAGCAAAAGGACACTAAACAAAAGTTGCAATGCCATTTGGGAGGTTGTAAGTGCTTTCCACCCCATGAAATAAGACCCTGCTCAATGAACTAGAGGATTCACTGCCTCCACTGAGTAGTGCACCAATTCATTATTGCTGTTGCCCTGCCATGCTCTTCTTCCCTACCAGGATTTCCTCATCCATGTGGTTCTTCAACCACACCTGCATGATGATACAGAATCACATCAGCTATAGCCAGTTCTTCCCAAAATTGGGTTTTAAGATTCTGGAGCACCACAGAAGTGAGACTAAGTGGGCTAAAATTGCATCACTTGGTACATGAAATAGAGATCCAGGTCTGATGTCAAACATCAAAGACCCCAGCAATGGTACTTAAGCCCTTATCTAACATTTCAGTGCTGGGTTGAGCTCAGTAAAGTGGAAACACTATTTTGAGAGACGTATTTTTTTCCATCAAAAAAAGTGTTTCAACATGGAAAGTAAGGCTGCTGTCATCAACAAGTTAGTTTGCTAGAAACAGTATGACTTCAGCAGACGGGCAGATTTTGCAAGCAGAAGGGTTATTCTCATCTGCAGCTCTGCCTACAGTAGACCTGTCAATACATCCATGCTCTCAAATCTTTGTGTAGTCTGTATGAACAACCACAACCTTTGGCTTACTGCTAACAAAAGTGGGACTCTAATCTGACCTTGAATCTGTACTTAGGTGTTTATTGAGCCTAAAAACACTGAGTATAGCATTAAAAAGCCCCAAATATTTCTCTAATAAGCCAAGTGCTGGATATGCCAGTCACAACAAGACTTCTAGTTTCTACAGCTGTTTAGCAATATCAAGATCCAACGAAATAGCCAAGTGCCTTCTTCTGTACACCTCAGAGCTTTCCACTGGGATGGCCTTTAAAACTCATAGATATAAAAAAACCACTATTGCTGTAACACTGCTAAATTTTATAATAAAAAGCCCTACTCCTAGAGGTAGGCTCTTACAATGCACATGTAAGAGTATCTATGTGTTTGCTATTCTCCCAAAAGCCTGTTTGCCTCTACAAAATAGTTTACCAGAAGCAGGTTAAATATCCACTTTACAGAACTGCTCATCGCAGACCTACAACCAACCACTCTGGGCGCAGCATTAACTGCCAGCTCCATCCCTGAGCCCCACAGCGGTTTTGTCAGTATTTGCCAGTGCCCCACAGGCAGTGACCATTATATCCCAAATGTCACCAGCACATAAGCATGAATCCATTCTAGGTCACTCTTCAACAGCCTTTGCAAGTCCTACACTGATGCAACTTCAACCCAAAGCCAGTGGCAGATAAATACTTGGTATGGCTGTGAAACATATCCTGGAAAGTTTATCGATGACTGACTCTCTTGCCTGGATAAGAACTGATTGTGTTTGATCAGATACCACTAGACTTCAATGAGTGTGTTTGCTTACAGCAATAAAGCCAGAAGAGCTGTATTGCAGACAATTTTACAATTACAATATAAAGTCCAATTAGGGGAATGTTTTGTAATCTAGAACCTGTAATATCTTTTGCCTATTAGTAAATCAATTGTTGGTTTGTTCAAGATCACAGCTAGAGTGATGAGCTCCTGGAGTTTTACATATATAGTGAAATACCAACGGACTAAAAGCTGTTTGTCTAAAATGGACTGGCTTCCTACAGTTTTAATGTATTAAGAGCTCTCAGTGAAAGCAAGCCTTAAACTACTTAACGCTATTGCATCCAGCAGTCTCCTGTTGGTTAGGTAAGATTCAATATACTTGATAGCACAAAATTGCTCTGAGAAAGAAAAGGGCCCGATGACTCCCTCCCTGGGAGCGAAGGCATCAGCTGGGCCTGAATTTTGCACCACTTACAACCTAGTGGATAGCGGCACCAAAATTAGTTACACTGAGTCCAGAATTCACATTAGGATGGATGTGGTGAGACAATTCTCACCACCACGGGAGAAGAGAGGCATCTGAAACATCATCTCCCCTCATTCAGTAATACCCAGGCTATACTTGGTGTTATCCCAGAACAAGTTTCTCCAGTTAATCAGAAGACCCACTGTTAACCACGCATAGATGCAGTAAAGTCTGTCCAGTTACCAGATCATCTTCTATTAGAGAAAGTCTTTTAAAATCCCTTAAGGTCAAGTCAAGGATAAGATGTATTTTATAGTCTTATATTTAGTATATGTGTTTCAATGATGAAGGAAGCCCAACTTCTCTGAAAGTTTCAAAACATACAAAGAAACCCCCTGCCCTTAACTCAAGTGAGGTTTTTAAAAAACCAGATCAACTGCTACCATTTTCTAATTTGTTCCTAAAACCGGTGAGGGAAGAGAATTGTATCTTCAGAGTCCAAAAGAGTGAACCGTCAGCCTAGTGATAACCTCACAGGTCTGAAAGTGTTTCCTGCACAGCGTGGTTGTGGTGGTGACACACAGCCAGCTCTGCTGCCTCAAGGAGCCAAGAATGAGGAGCCCAGAGCCCCGTATCCTTAATATATCCAGCAATGGGGAGCAGAGTGTAGCACTTAGCAGTCACTGGCAGCCTAATTCAACTTTTTATAGCCCAGAAAAAAGAAAAGGCTGTGTGGATTCCCACAGAGGGAGCGTATGTGTGAAGTACAATATTGATGTCTAGCAGCCACCAGCTAAAAGGAAGATGGGTAGAAGCTGCGTTTGCTGTTGCTTGGCTGAAGCACAGCTATGCGAGGTGGATTTAATCCACTGATGGCTTAGAGACCCAAACAGGCTTATGTTTTCAGAGTTTGGAATTTAAACTGTCCAAGACAACACATATTTATGCATGCAAATAGTTATGTGTGCAACAGCCCCTCTGTGCAGGAAAAGGGTTGAAGATCTACAGTTACTTCTGTAGATACAACTTGTTAATTCAACTGTAGGCAGTTCCTCAGAGTTGTCTCCCAGGGGCACCCTCCTTTCACCTCCCCCAGGTATGCAAAGCCTTAATTTGCTAAAGAGCCAGTTCCAAACCCCCAGGTTATACCGTGCTAGTAGTCTGTCAGAGCTAACACAAACTACACCAAAACACTGATGTTGGTGTGCCAACCACTCTACAGCAGAGAGGCTCTGCCAAGTACTGCATAGCACTGGGCAGCCCCCTTATACATAGAAGCATTTAAGTCTTCTGACAGCTCCTAACCACTGCTTGCAACTTCAGCATGGGAGCTGAAAAACAGACAAAAAAAACCTCCTGCCCTGCTGCAATGTTCAGCTACCAGAGCAATGATTTAACAATTATTTATCAGCCAAAGACTGCAGGTTAATGCAAGTGTTGTAATATCTAGGGAGATTAGAAATGCTTTCATGGCATTTCAAGATTAGTGTCGACAAGCCTTTCCTCTTCATCCCTCCTGAGCCCTGTGGTTCTGGAAAACCAGAAAAAAATCAGAATGCAAAGCATACTGCCCTTAGTATCTGTGTTGAGCATACAGAGTAAACAAACAGAATCAATAGGAAAGAGATCAGCAAAAGTCTTTTCAGTTTTAACAAATTAAGAGTCTAAATAGTACAAATAAGTTTTTTTAAATTACTTATCCCAATATAGACCTTTGTCAGTATTTTATTGCAGTAAAATTCTGTTGCCCGGGCCCCTTATTGCAACATCAGTTTTAAAGCATATCGAGTGAAGCCCGTTCCAGGAAAAGTTCCGCTTCAAACCTGATGGCAGTCTGCAGTGATGAGTTTACATGAGCAGAAAAGGACCCAGCCAGTACACAGTTTTTGATGGTGAGCTGTCACCGCAAGGAGATAACACCTCGCACACTTCCTAAAGCAAGCGCCGCATCTGTGTTTGCTTGTTGCTCAGGCCCTGTAAGTGCTGGATCCAACCGTATGGAGAACAGCTCTGTCCACTCTTGCAAACTCTGTGGGGGTTGATCTCCCCTCCAGGATAAAAGCATCACCCAAGAGTGAAAAAACCTGTCACCTTCCAGAAGCTTGGTGACTTACAGCAAGAGGCTCAGATGCAAAGATTTTAATTCAGATCCCTTCTTTGTTCCAAGGCATCTCATGACTTCCCAAGGACAGGGAGGCAGTGCACCATACCTTCTTTCCCAGGGAACAAGACTAGGGTGACTCTTTTTACATCATATTGATGCACATCCCTTCCTCTCCTAAGAGACTTGCTCCACCTGCCTTATTCATGCAACTGCAGTGGAGGTAACTGGCAGGGTAAAGTACAAATCAGGATGAACGAGGCCGCCACAGTCAGGATGTCCATAACCAAATTCTCCCTTTGGAATGCAAACAACCTGGCTGCTGCAATAGATCCACCCAGCCCATCCACATCTTGTTTCCTCTGTGGTGAGAAACATGAGACTAGGAAATTCTGCAGCACCCATGCACCTTCTCTTCCATTTCTTCCATGGGAGCTTTGAATTTCAAGAGGGGTGGATCGCCACTGGACACTGTGTAATACACTGAGGTCCCATTGGAGCTGTAGGGAGAAGTCCTGGATCCGATTAGGTGCGACTTGGCCTCACCCCCATTCTCGGCAACTCCTCCCACGCCGCTGCCAAAGTGGGTGCTGAGGAAAGGGTGATTGAGGAGTTTGGCTGCAGCCCGCTGCCGCTTAAGTTCGGAGAGCGTCTGATGGTTATGCTCCTTGTAGGCACCCCAGAACTGCTGTGTGTCAGGGAGCCCGGGGTTGCTGTAGGGCAGCACGTGGCCTGGATTACTGTCAGGGTCAGCGTGCATACTCCAAACGTCCCCGTTGGAAAAGGTGTACTGGTAAGTGCTGGCAGACGCCATGAGTCCATTCTGGAGGGGGATCTCAGAGTCACACTGGGTGCTTTTGTTTGATAGCTCCGGAAGGAGGGAAGAGTTCTCCAGCATTGAATTCTGTAACAAGACGACATGAAAGAAGAGCATCTTCCCCCATCCCCCATAGCATGGTTTATCCCCGTGACAACTTCCTAAGCCTGCTCACACTCAGCTTTTCCACCAGACAGGCACCACAGCACAAACACTGAATTTACCCACTAACAGGACTGTGTAATGCTGTGAGCCCCAACCGGGAGCTGGTTCCCAACCAGGAATGTGGAACGTTAACTTAGAAGGACTCACCAGAAAAAAATTTAGATAGATAAGCGTTTGAATATAACATGATAACAAAATTAAGTAACTGCAAAGCAAGATTACATTATTTTGTGATTAGCAGTTTGTTAGCTGTAAAGAGAAATACACACACTATTTTTTTCTGAAATTCCTGGTTCACTAGGGCCATATCTCAAAAAACTACTGATGCAGCTGTAAATCCAAAACAGTCTTTCCACTTGAGTAGGATATCTCAATTTATGCCAAATGAGAATTTGGTCTTTTGCTTATATGTGATGGATGAGTTTTACAAATTTTTCAACCACCTTCCATCCCAGGGCACCCACTGCCATTGAACCTGCACTACCAGCCCTCCTCGGTCACTCCCATAATAGAGAAGAGATTCCTTACGGGGTCTGTATTCTCCTGGTCAGAACGAGTCTCCCCAATTTCTGCAATGAGAACTGAGTTTCTTCCTTCTTCTGCTGCCCCCAGCTGCTGCCAGACAATGGCCTCTTTCTCACACTCCTTCCTGTAAAGGTTTGTTCGGTCCGAAAGGCTGGCCCTCCTCACCACCTTCCTGTGGGACAGGGAAAAGAGGCATCTATGCTGTGAGCAGGACATGACATTTCCTCCTACCCTGTAGCTCTTTCACCTCCCCCTCTCACTTCACAGCCTCTCCCACTGGAATGGAACGTGAATTTAGCTTCCCAGCACCCGCACAAAGCAAAGGCACTACTGTGGATATTAAAGGTGGGAGGAATTTTAAGGAGTTTTAAAGTAGTACTGCAAATCTGCGTTTGATCTTATACAGCTCACCTAATGGATCTACTCTGCAACCACTGGAATAAATGTAGAGGGAAATGGCCCACGGGCTGTTTAGGGAGTTTTGTGGTTTGCTTTGGTGTCTAGTAAACATCTTATGAAGACCTGTGCAAACTGCGTCTGAGCAGAGTATCTTGGTCATGAGACATATTACTGAGAAGCTCAAGTTAATCCACTTGAAGCATTGATTCTCTAAAACAGCACTGGTGATTTAACAGGGTAAATTCTCACCACTTGGTCCTCTGCTCTCAGCAGTTCTTAAACCACAACAGCACAAAGCTATTTTCCCCTCCAAGAAACAATACTTCTTTCTCGTGAAAGAACCACTCTTCAAAGGAGTTCTGCTTTCAGTAACCAAAATTCAGCTTCTGCCTTCGGAAGTTTGTTCAGAAATGACAGACGGGCTGTTGTCCAGGCGCTGATCCAGCCGTGGTTACGGAGCACAGGTGACCTGCAGGGATCAACGCACTTACCCCCGGCTGCCGGTGCTGGAGGTCCTTCGACTCAGGGAGGATTTATGCCTCAGCTGAGACTTCATGATCACATCATGTTTGTGTTTCAACTCCAGAAGTAATACTTTGAATTCTTCCTCTTCACACAGATCTACGGCACACAAACCAAGCCATCAATCAGGCAGTTCAAATGTGGTACCATTAACACCATGTTACTAGCGGTGCCTTCCTAGTATATACAACTACAAGTGCTAGGAGGAGGAGAAGGGAAATTTGAACAGAATATGCTTAGGCACATTCATATCTAAACAAATTCAGGGGAGGCAGAATGGTTTGGACACCTAAACAGAAGCAGAAAAAAAAGAGCTGCTGATTGTGACAGGGGCTCAGCTTTATCTTGATCCAGCTCTTCAGCTAGGTTTTGTCTCATCTCTGTAGCATGCTGGGCCTTTACCCATAAAAGGGTGAGAGATATATTGACCACCGTATCAATGCTTCGAGATGGGAGAAAAAGAAATTTCTGTAATTACAAGACTGCAGCTCCCCTGAATACAGCATTCTTACTTAGACCTCTGAAACAAACAAACAAAAAATTGCAGACAAAACCAAACCAGATCAGGACAGAAGACAAGAACTTTCAACCTTCAAAATGAGGATGCAACAGATTTTTTAATTAAGGCTCAGAAGACCTTTTGCCAAAAGAAAATGTGGCACAAGGTTATAATACACATGGTCATATACTAGTATTTTTACTTCCAATCTGTTCCAAGACTCATGTGTACTTTATTTTTCCCCCAACCCCGTATAGCTTACCACACTGCATTGCATCAAAGCAAAGTTAGACACCCAAGTCTTAGGGCTGCACTCGGCAGCTGCTCAGGTCCAAGACTATAGTGAAAGAGCAGGGAGACTCCCAAGCACAGGTACAGAGGAATAACATGAGTGGAAACACGCAGGAGAAAGACTTGGTGCTTGAGAAATTCCTTCTCCCTTGTTTTTCTGAGCAGGAAGAAGTGTTTTCAGAAGTAACAAAGTAGACACTTTAAAACTTCAGTCCCAGTTAAAGTAACTGCAACTTTGATTCTAAAGACACCTGAAAAATTATGTTAGCGCTTCTGAAAGCACCACATGAAGTCTCCAGCATGCTTAGGTAGAAAAGCTTTTCTTAGAAATTTCTTCTTTTTAAGCTTAATAAGCTTACCTATTGGCATCTCATCCAAAGATGTCCTGGCACTCAAACTAGCCCCATGGGACACAAGCAACTCGGCCATCTGCATCTAAGGAAAGGGAAAGAAAGACAAGTTGATCGAGGTATTTTAGGCAATCACTTTCCTCCTCAAAGCTGAAAAGTTGGAATATGATAAGAAGCAATGGCATGCATGCTCAGCTAGCCTCAAATCATTCTAGTATGTGCATGATGTTAAACGTTCCTACTGCCCAACTGCACAGACATACTCTCCCCAGACTCTCTCAGTAACAGGTTCTTTCTGGAGACCCAAGGACCTCATCTGATGCTGTGCATGGATTCCAGTCCTGGTACAGATTTATTCCATTTGCAGAGTACTCCACCATTTGTCCAGGCAAAAAGAAGTGTCACCCTCCTACACGATATTTGAAACAAAATCATTACCTGTCCCCAGAAAGCAGCAGCATGAAGAGGTTCCCAGCCGTCCCAATCCTTAACATCCAGGCTTGCCCCCTGGTCAAGGAGGACTTCAGCTGCGTGCAGGTAACCATTGGCTGCAGCTATATGCAGCTAGGAGATAAGGAACAGAGCATGAACCACCTGCAAGGACCATGAATGGTTTTATACACCAAGTTTCAGTGGAATTTCTTGGATAACGTCTGAGTCTAGATGTGGACAGACAGCACATTTCACATTTGGCTGATGCCATCAGATCAAAAGCTGTTGTTCCTGTTACTAAAACTCAGTATTACCTGCATGTAATTCTGTTTGGAGAGGAAACTGCTTAACAGTTATTAAAACAACTTCCATATATGGGTTAGAAAAATAATGTTTTCATATTTTAAATTAAGGGCTCTTAAGTGCTTAATGATCTGTAGGGAAACAGTACATCAAAATTCAAGCTTGCAATGGATAACATCATACACTGTAAACTCTGCATTTCTCATGCCAGAAGAACGTCTCCTTTTCTGCACTTACATGCTGTGGATGTGATTTTTTTTGATTACATTTTCAGCCTGCTTTAGTTAGGACTCCCTTTGTGAATTGCACTTCCACTCATGCTATAATTTTTTTCACCATTTGAAAATTAAAAACGTTTTAACCCTTGGCTACTTTTAGTTAAGTGAATTTGATTTTTCAGACATTGGCTTCCAACTACAACCACCACTTTGGAGACATCAATAATAGTCTCCTGTAGTCCCCCATGACACTTCATGTCTATGAAGATTTTCATAACTGCAGTCTGCTGTTGCATCTCTGAGCACAACATTGACCTATGCACTACTCTGAAAGTATGAACTCCACTTGGAGCTCATCCTATTTCAAACTGTGCTGAAGAGGAGGATGAAAGCTTCTTTTCAAAAATTTCCATGTGGATTCCACCACACAAAGTTAAATCCTCACCTGGAAATAAATTCTGATGCTTGCTGGCAGTTCAATTAATTCCAACATAAATTTTATGTCACTAGGTCATACCCTCGAGGGCCATATGAATTAACAAAGAATCACTTGGGGATGATATAAAAAGGAAAGCCAAGAGGGCTGCTTAAATTTATGTATATAATCCTTGTTATAGAGAAAAATGTGTTAAAAAAATAAGCTGCAATAAAAGCTTCAGTCATCCAAGTTTACCTTGGAGGGAGCCCGCTCTCCCCTTATACTCCTGTATATGCTACAGGTGACAATTTAGATTAAGAAACATGAATGCACTGCCATGGTCAGGTCATCAAACAAATGACACCAAGTGGCCTGTAATCAGTTATGTCTGCACCCAAGCATCAAAATGACCAAGGTTGTATGAAGGTCCCAACACGTATAACAGCATTACTGAACTTGCCCTAAGTTGGGACTGCTGTAAGCAAGAATTTAAGAGATGTGTTTGCAGGTGAAAAAGAAGGGAACAGGGCTAGGATTGTTCACCCTTCTCGGTCCATGTGCAGTTAAATCAGATGCCAGCTTGCTTTGTGCTATATATTTGTGTTGGGTGCTCTCCTCTGCCCAGGGGCAGAGGCCATCCTACGTGAATAAACACAGCACTCCATCGACTCTGTGAGCCAGGTGCTATGCAAAGCAGAAAGGAGAGGAGGCAGAAAGTCTCCAGCGTGCCCAACAGTAGATCCTGCTCCCATGAAAACCAGAGGACACTCACAGCTCCTCCGTAGAGTCAGATCAGACTACAGGACAGCGAGAAGCAAGAGGTTACTGGGAGGTCAGCAGAAGTGCTTTGTTCTGCAACTCCTCATTGTGGGATTTTGCACCTCCTTTGGAAGCTGCTGGTTCCAGCCACTGTCAGACAAGACCCAGGAGCTCAGCAGTCGCTGGACAACTGGTAGAGCTCACATGAACAAGGGATTCACCTCACAAGGCACAGGGTTAGACACTAAGTTTTGTCAGCTGTACTCAAGGACCGAGCCTGTTCCTACATGATAATAAACTAAAACAGGGAAAAAGGTCAAAATAGCTTCCTTATTCTTCTCAGTAACTCGTATGTGTTGATTTTGTATAACTCCTGCCACAAGGCAGGTTTCGTAACCTACAGGTTGACGGATGGCAAAACTGAAGCCGCTGCAGTTTCACTCACCAGCGTAGCACCTTGGGCATCAGTCCTGTTCAGATCTTGTCCAGTCGCAAGTATGTCATGAATGTCACAGATCATGACCTGCTCTGGAGCAGCCCGCATCTCATTGATCCTCTCCTGTGTAATTCCTGTTAAAATTTCAGTTAGAGAGAGAAGAATTGGAAAGGGTCTTTGTCTCCACTGGTTGAGTAAGATTAGACTTAATTCCCGGTTGATATGACCTCACATGCTTTTCAGAGGCTGTGTAGCTGAGGGGACTGACAGTTGTCCTTCACCCTCATCATTACTGAGGAATCAGAGAAACTAGACAGGGCCGGGTTCCAAGAAATTACTCCCGGCAGCAGCTCTCTGCTTTTCTCAAGAGGCAAATCAAGAGCTGAGAAACAAGGTAATTTTTAGTACTATACTGACCCATTTTTGTATTTACATTAACTCAGTCTCCTTACCTTGATAGGCCATGCAAGTCTCAATGACATCCAGAGTTGGCTCATCTTCACAGAGGTCATACGGCATGTTGCCATCTGCATTCACTGCCAACAAGTCTGCTCCACTGCAAAGAGAAAGCAGCGTTACAAAAGACAGGACCCTGGACATCTAGAGCAGACAGTGCCAAACACTGGGATAAATGCTTAGCAGAAATTGACTGAGGGTTAATAGCTGCCCAAATGTCACCAAGATTTGTGTGAGGTAAGAAAGATTTGAAGGAAACCCATGGAACTATGAATGGGGAAGATAAATTCCCGAAGTGCATGAAAGGCAGCGTGCTACACCTCTTCCATGGCTGTGGGGCACATGAGCCACTGAGCTGTTCCTGTCCTCTCCTGGTCCTGCCGCTGGGCAGACTGGCAGCTTCTCAGTGATAGAAATGATTGATTTGCTGTATTTCTGGATAATCGTCCCAAGCAACTACCAGGTGCTTGTTATCTGGGCACCTGGCAGTCCCTCAATGAAAAGTTTGCAAGGACCAGAAAAGTTGGGAAAAATAGGGCCTGAATGGTGGAGGAAGCCTTCCATCTAGGCAAAGGCATGTTAGCAAAAAATAGCAATAAAAAAAAAAAATATCCTGACAACTGGTGAATTTTTCTTTCTGATTATCCAAAAGCACTTCTCTAAGTGCTTTAGTGATCTCTGACAGGTCACTATTTGGAAGTAAAATAGCCAGCTAAATTGATCGCTGTCCCTATATTCCCACATAGTAGAAAATTTCCAGCACCTTCTGAACTGCGCCATTTTGGCTAGCTGTTCAATAGTTTCAGGTGAATTCTGATCTATCCTGACAGTTACCAGTCATGGAAGGACAGCAGACAGTATCCATTTGCATTTAGATTCCTGTTTCTTTATATTTTTCCCCCTCTCCCTGAGCAGAGCAAACTACATTGAAATTCACATTTATTTGCAAAGTACCAGCATTAGTTTAATCAGCAAATAAAAAAGCAAGGAACTGGACATCTTTTGTGAGCTACTTCCTCTGAAGGTCTCCAAGGGTTCCAGGTCCTATCAACAGTAACATTGCCCTCAAAGGCAGTGTTTAACCTGTAATTTGATGTGACACCTCCTGTGAAGGACAACTTTGATTGTAGAAAACAAATTAAATCACCCCATTCCTTTAAAGCCCAGGGGAAAACTGTTCCTGACCATGGGATCATTATACTAGGCTACTAGAGTCCAAATAGTAACTACTCAACACAGGGCAGTCTATGACAACTAGGGACATAAATCTGAGTTCTTCCTCTTGCCACCCATCCCCCATGACATTCCCTTATCTTCAGTTAAGAGTCAGGAATGCACTATATTGTTCCACATTTGTATGCTCTGTTTTTATCATTCCCCCCAATCCAAAAATTTCCTAGCCCAAGTTGGAATGTCCTCCAAGGGGTGACTGTTTGCATCCTCTGCTCCACTTCCTTCATTATACAGCCAAAGAAGGGGGGCCAAATTTTCAGTGCTAGTCTCCCAGATGACAGCATCTCAGGGAGAAGTGTCACCCCCCGAGGGAGGAGCAGCAGGCGCTGCTGTGCACAGCAGCATGCTGACGCTCCCAAAGCACGCTCTGCGCTCCACACCGTCACTCCGGGAAATGGAGGGGGGGGCTCCGTACAGCCAGGACCATCTGCTCCAGCCAGGATTCACAGCAGGTGCTCATTAGATGCTGCACGTGGTACAGCTCAAAGCACATCTGGCTTCCTCCTCCTGCTGGCAAGTCTAGAAAAGACTTGAGCTTTAGGGCCTTGGTAAAGTCAAGTGGAAGGTCCAGTGCAAGCACCCTGTGTCACACCACTGGGGAACAAATGCATTAAAGGAAGCTAACTGGTTACTAATTAAGGGCCAGTAAGACAGGTCACAAAGTTCACCCGAGTATTTGAGCTATACAAACACTCCTGTCCTCCTACATCAGTGTCTCTTTGTAGTTGGAAGACCTGAAGTTATGTTTAAGAGCTTGAGGGTGGATCCTGCTGGCTGCTCCTATTTCTACCCATCCAGCAAACATGGTTCAACAAGCACACCAGCATGTACACACTAGAATACAGGCAAGAAGTGGTAAATTTTGGCTAGTTTCCAAATCTTCATAAAACTGAGTCAAGTGACCTAGGGTTTTACCATGTCTCCTCAGCTTTTCTGCTCTTCCTCCTCCACCCCACTGTCCCCCATGCAGGAAGGAGTTTGATGAATAACCTGAAAGCAGGGAATAATCACCACCACTGCAATCTCACAAGGTATTAAGCAGTCTCGGTTTCCATCCACAGAAGCTGTAGGTAGAGTCAGATCTGCAGAAAGGGACAGACACAAAAAGCCACCTACTGCTGGATGAGGATCTTCACCAGGTTGATATGACCACACGTAGCTGCTGCATGCAACGGAGTCCACAGCTCATTGTCCTTTGCGTTGACATTGGCCCCGTGGTTGAGGAGAAGCTTGACTATCTCTTCATAGTTGTCTATGCAGCACTGGTGAGGAAGAGATGCAGACAGATTGTTTTTTTACAAGCTTTGGGAAGATGAGGGCTCATACCTGCTCAGTTGTACCAGGGTACCTGGATGCGGAGACCTACTTTATCCTGCAGTGTTTGGCAACAAGCATCTCCAGCAGAGTTAAGCACCAAACTGAGCACAAGCAGGTCAGAAAGGCACCATGCAGAAGACCTACACTGGACAGACTGAAGGACACTGGTGCTTTACAGGGCCTTCTGGTTCGGGAGTAGAACCAGCAGGGAATCACAGCAAATTTGCACACAGCTTCTGTTCCCCTGGGTCTTCCATATTCAAGAGCAAACATGGCAGAAATTCAACATAACCAGTATAACCACATACCAAGGGATGAGCTGACAAGCTGACATTCCCTTTTCTTAGGGAAAATCCCACACATTGGCATGTGATGACTAAAAATCTTCTCAGCAGCTCACACTACCTACCACAGTTATCTGAAGAGATGCAAGTTGGATTCCCAAAATTATGAGGTACTTCACAGGGCACCCTTCATTTCCTGAAAAATATCAGTATCCTCGATGCATTTACACCACAATCCCAGAGGCAGCCTGCAAGAAGGGCCTCAACAGCTTTCCTTTGGGGAAGGTGGAATTTGCTCTTTGATCCACCTTGTGCTCACTTCTTGACATGAATGTGCATATGATAGAGACACTAAAATAAGATTCATTCTTGTGCAAGAAGCCTGTTCGTGATCTGTCCTACTGCAGACCCACACAGGAGGCTCACAGCTCAGCACCGCAGTATGGGCTTGTAATGGGGCTGAATTACAGCCCACAGCAAGCGTTTTAGCAGCTGAGTGACAAGGACCCTTTATGTATTTGTGTTTACTATTTGTGTATGGAAGTGAGGTTAAAATCATGCCTGTTAAACAGCCAGGTTATCACCAGAGTATAACTGCATCCTTCACTGGAAGCCACTGCTAAGGGGCAATAGTGGTCACTTAGGAGCTTCTCTCTGCTCAGGGATTCAGTTAATTCTTGCGGATGCAAAGTTCCCACCTCAACTCCCAAATGCACCTTTACAATAATTGATCCTTCAGTGGCCAAGGTGGGATTCTCCATGGCTTCTGGACCTAGTGGGGAAAGCAGTGAGGCTGTCAGCGCTTCTCTGTGTGCAGAATAACATCTCTCTGGAGAGGTGAGGAGCCGGCGGGGACAGGACCCTTTATTCTTCTAGAAGCCAGTTTGCATTTTTAAGCAAACATCCATCCAGCTTTGAAGAGAGCAAGTGACTTGCAGAAGAATTCAAAGCCCCCACGTCAATGGGAGCGTTTGCAGCTGGGACTAATGGCGAGAAAACCATGAGTCCCCCCCGTCCCGCCCTCGGAGCGCGTGTGACAACCGCGCCAGTGTTCCTCGTGGCAGCGGAGGCGGCAGCTACCAGGCACAGCGAGTCCCGCCGGCCTGCTGCAGGCTGGCTCTCCTCCCGTGCTCCCACTGAAAATCAGGACGCATGAGGAGCGGGGAGAACGGGGGCCTTAGGAAGAAAGGTAGAAAAAGCCTTATGGGATCAGTGCAGAGGGTCTGAGGAAGGACAGAGACTTACACACCACTATAGCAAGTCTCTGTTTTACTGACGATCGGCTGTTGCCACGTTATACAGACTTTTGGAAGTTCCTGAGCCTACAGAGAACAGCAGCAGGCTCTCCAAGCATCCTATGCATCATTTATTTAAACCACTTTCAAAAATCTTGGGTTGCCAAAGTCTCTGAGTTAAGAGTTTACAGCCCAGCCCTGTAAAGACTAAGGGGTGGGAGAAATGTTGTTCACATCTGAAATCCAGCCCTGAATTCTGAGCTCTTAGTATCACTGAACAAAGTCTGGGATACAACAAGAGAAGGGTTTGATCTCAGTTTGCTCCCCAAGAAACAGGATGGCCAGCACAACATGGTAGAGTTTCACTGCTTTAACTGAGCAAAAAAAATGAAATAGAAGAGCTCTCCCTGTTTACCCCTGCTCAGAGGGCAGTGGGAAGACACGACAATGTGGAGTGCTGTGACCTCCTCCCACACCTCACCTGATGCAGTGCAGTTAATCCATCTTCATTGCACAGGTCTGGGCTGATGTTGCTCTTCAGCAAGTAACACACTGTAAGGGAAGAAGACAGGAGGAAAGGACAGTCAGATCAGTAATCCTAACACATGTCTTGCTCTCTGCTAGCCCTAGCCAGTTCAAGACAAAGGCAACCCACACCAGCAGGCTGTTCCAGCGTGGGCAGAGCTGCAGGAGACCTCGCAGCCAAGAGCCCAACACTGGTGTGAATCCACAGCCACTGCAGCACTGGCAAGAAAAAAAGCCTTCTTGGTTTTACCCAGCAGAGAGCACCAGCATACAATTTTCTCCCAACTTCCTTCCAAGGGAGACTGCTATTTCAGCTGTCATTTTCACATGGTTGTGCTGGAACAGTCTACGTTTTTATCTTGCGCTTTGCAACATCTGAGTGCGACCTCTGCACATGGCAGCCCAGGAGAGCTCAAAGTCAATCAGGGATTTTTGAGTCCTGAGTGACAACCATAACAGAGATCTCACTGTGGGAGGGATGAGGTCCTGCCTCAAGAGGTTATCAATCAAGAATGAGAAGCTCAATACGTTCAGGGGCCTGCCACATCTGAAAAACACTGGGGTTGCTTTGGTCACTTCACATGAGCTGTTGGGTATTTGAAGAAAGCTTTCTAGAAGCTTTATTTTTTTAATTAATGCTTTGGAAAGGATAAGAAAAAAATGAAAATTTCTGAAACACATGGAAAGTTGTTAGCTCCTAGGTGAAAATAAAGTTTGCTGTGGGGTACAGGTCTTTCACAGGGTAATAGCAATGAGGCTGGCAGGGGATGTAAATTAATAGCAACATCAGGAACTCTTTAAATTCAACACTGTTGACAGATCTTGATGATCTATACCCATCTTCTGTTGTTTACTTGCTCATTCCCTGCTTTTTCTCCAGAGATTTCACTACCTAATGCTTTTCCCACCTCAGATGTCACTGACAGCACACACACAAGCCACAGGTTCGTAATCATCTCCCTGGGACCAGGGCAGCGACAGATATCTCATCTTATTTGATGGCAAGGATGAAACCATTAAGTGAAACCAGAGCTGCAAAATAAGGAACACTAACAAAGCTAAAAATGCAATAATCATCTTCAGAGCTGGCAATCAAAGCAACTGCAAGGCTGCTCGCTCCCACAGCGCCCGGCAGCCCCTCCTTCTCTGCTTTTCCAAGTCAGAAGGAGCTCCTTCCCCAGCACATCCACAGGGCTGTCCCTGGGGACAGAGCACTTCTGGCATCCAAAGCACAACATGGAAAACATGTCCACAATGACATCAATGTTGATTTATGAAGCTTTGTTTAAAAGATCTGGAAAATGCACTCACAAGAAAGGCAAATCGAAACCAATGCGAAGTTTAGTTTGGAAGCCACCGGTCTGATTATCGAAAAGGAAGGCAAAACCAGACAGAAGCAAAATATCTTATATCGCAGGACTGTTTCACCTAGCTCAAAATGAATGCTGGAATTTACGTTTGCTGGAAATAATTTCAAGGCATTGACACCTGGTTGATGAAACTGATACAAAAAAAGCAGAATACAACAAAGAACAAAACTCATCCCCCACCACCCCGAGTCCAGAGTGAGTTTTTTCCAGCTCAAAGGCCAGTGCAGGAAGCCCACCTACACCCAGCTCACACCCCCTAACACTTGCATGCTTGACAGTAATAAGAGTGCTGAAGCCCAGCCAGTATATCCAATTTAATAACTGTGCTTCTACTGTTTCTGGCCAGCCCCAAACTCCTGCTCACCTAATCCAAGCTGAGTGATAGGCAAGTCATTCATCAGTGGATCTGGTCGTCTCTTATTTACTTTGGATGCTCTGCCATTAGGGTTTTAATTCAATCTCAGTCATTTAAGAGCCATTGTGTACTAATGACATGCAGCTCCATAATCATGTTTTGCCTGATTATGGAGATTTGGACAAGTAGATGCTGGCAGATTAACTTTACAAGTGCTGTCCCTCTGTGGGAAGAAGCAGTAGCATAAATCCCAGCTTGTTATGGAATATGGGATTTTGTGTTGAAGGCTCTGTGATCACGGCTTGATGGAGCCTGTAAGAGTCCTTGAAGGGTTAAGATTCAGAGGAGGATTTATCTCACCATAAAGCAGCTTTGAATTCTCCACTAACCCCTGCATCAGCCCTCATGTTTGTAGTACACCTCCCCTTAGCTCCCATTTGCCCTCAGGACTGGCTCACCACAGCCCTCAAAACACTTCCCAGTATCTCCTAACGCACCGAAGACTGACAACCACAAGACACCAAAAAGAGCACAGAGAAGGTAGGTATGGATGTGATAGCAATGAGTCCAGGCAAACGTGGCCTGAAGAAGAAATCACACTCCTTTCCAAGCAGCTGCAAGCTGAAGTTTGCATCTTGGGGCTTAGCAGGGGGAGCACAAGGCTGAGCAGCAATGAGTCCTGGCTCCTTCTCTACAGTCAGAGGGATGTTGCCTCCAGTATTCTTCACGCTCCGGACAACAAACCCCAACAGCTAGGCAGAAGGCTCAAAGAGCTGCTATTTCCTATTATCTTCCCACCAAGCTCGTAGCAGAACGCAGCCCCGATTCCTACCCACCACCCCCAGCAGCAGGGCACGGGGTGGCAAAGAGCAGCTTCAGCAGGCCCTGCTCCCCGCAGAGGGACGAGGAGGGAGGACACGGGCATCTTCCCTATGCCCACTACCCAGGAACAGCCCCTCCCACGTGGCCGGGAAGAACAAGTCCTCCTTTCTGATAAACTTCAGGAGAAACGTGCATTTGTGGGTTTTCCAGTGCCTTAAGATTAGGAAAGGGGGGGGCACAGCTGCGACACTTTGCAGTGCTGGAAGCCGGACCCTCAGCTCCAGGGCTGTGGCACTGCCACCAACCCACTCTGCTGCTTAATGCACCACCGAAGGGACAGGGACCTGAGCAAGCAAAGTGCCTCTCCTCAAGCCTGCCGGTGCCGCACTCCTCGCTGCAGAGCCCCTTCTCCTCCCACCCCAGGCACCAACGATGCCATACAGGTAGGAAGGATACGCTTCAGCTCACAGGGACACAGATTATTCACTTGATGCCAGCTGATGGCTCAAGCCTCAGCACACCACTGCTGAAAGGAAGATCCCCCCCCATCCGCACAAGGTATAGAGTGGAAGTGGGTCCTCTGCAAGCTCAGGTCACAAGGAGCCCAACAGAATGGGCTTCTGCAGGTCACATCGGCAGGTTCAGCAGGCAGCAGCCTCCACTTTAACACTTACGATTAACTTCTTAAAGAGAGCTCAGCGCCTAAAATGCTGAGCTCTTCAAAATCTGCCCTGCTTTGCATATAGGCAGGGGGCAGGTGGGGAGAAGGGGCTGGATGCGTGGATATACTTTCTTATGTGTCAGGCACAGGTTGTAGGAAGCAGTTTCAAGTGCATAGCAAATGAAGGAATTAAAATTGTTACAATAAGAGCTGGATGAACAAATTGTTGTGAATAATTCATTGCAAATTATATTAACTGAGCAATCACTCAAATGTATTTTCCATTATTTGCTTGCTCTGCCTATAATTGAACCTCTCACACGCCAAAATGGTGTACATTAATCTTCAATTTATATTTTATCATTCACATCTGTGCTGTGTTAAATGAAAAAAGCTCCCTCAACAGCTGTGAAAATACATCCTAGGTTTTAAGTCACCCTCCATCACATGTCTTGGGGCAGTCTCAGACAGATTCTCCTCCCTGAACACAACAAACCCACTTCTCGGGAGCTCCCTCTCCTCCCAAGCGTGTCCAAGCCTTGCTTATTCTCCCCAAAACCTATAAATCAGAGAGAAGACAAAAAAAGCACTGAAAAGACCCTAAGGAAAATTCAATGCAGGGTAATCAGCTCTCTCACCTGAAGAGATATTACAGCGCTATGGTTTTTCATCAATGCTACTTCCCACTGAGTTTATACTAGTAACAGCTTTTCCAGAAAAGTTCGTAAACCAGATGAAGACTTTTCCATGCAGAAAAAATGCCTTTGTCAGTGCAGTTCCCCTTAGGTCAATAAGCTATACCATAAAATTCTGGATACTGTTACACTCCCATCTATACCCAGCATCTGCATACCTCAAGTATTAATAACTCATAGGAAAAAGCCAACTGAAATGGATATGGACACCAGGGAGGGAACAAAAAGAAAAACAAACACCTTTCTGGGAGAAGGTCGTGATTCTTCCAAAAAATACATAGTGGCAAACTGTCTATACTGGCAAACAGGCTTACCTGTGTGCTCCAAATTTACATACACACACAGAACATTAGTTTTTAAAAATCAGGTTTATCTTGATCCTTTGCACTCAATGAATTCTTTCTGAAAATATTTAAACTCTTCCGGTTCACTTTCTGGTTCTCAGACCACCTTTAAAAAGCTACTATTGCACTGAGGCCTCTACAGCAATAGAATAATTCTTGTATGTTTATACCTGATTTCACTAAATAAAATGAAGTTTCACTTGGATTAAGATGCACGCTTTTACACACTGCTAGAAGTCACTTCCACCCAATGCAGCTTTAGTCAAAAACCCGGTGTAGTGGAAGAAACTCTTCCCAGCGTTACTTGCAGTGAGATACTGGTGGTGTCGGTGCCACACGGGTGTGTTGGCAAATGTCTAGAAAGGCTGATCCCCAGCCTTCCAGTCACGGTCCTACGGATGGGCTCAGCTACTTCAAAGCTGCATTTTTACTGCTAGTTTTGCAGGGATATTTATTACACAGAGAAACATTGCCAGGAAAACCGCATTGAAGCTATGAGCACTCTGCCAGCAAAGCATCCAGCTTCCTAACACAGCCTACTATGATACTCATATTTAAGAGCTTATCTAAACCCTGAGCAGTAACAGGATGAATTTACTCAGCCTTATTTTCCACTCTCTGCAACATACAACTGATAGCCCATCCTGGTCCACTGATAAACTCTGCAGCTCCCTAAAGCTTTTTGAAAGACAAAAAAACACAGAAAACAAAACCCCACACTCAGACAGCTTCAAACATTTAGTACACCTAAAAATAAATATGGCCCAGATTGCTGCTGAG